AAAATAGTAAAAGACTAACAGGTGGTATCTTGATTCCCATTGAAACCAATGACAAAATAAAAGGTAATTCTTCTCATGATATGGTGGATAGAAATGTTGGTCACTGTGCAGTGACTCCTTTCTGTACAAGATGGAAGTCCTGCGTTCCTGCCAAGATGAAGACAAGTTTGCTGGTTTGGAATGTGGGGGACTTGTCTGTTACACTTCTACTGGCTAGTTCAGGTAAGTACTTGCCACTTGATCATTTCACACTGATGGAACTACCTTGTATTTGTGATTATTATTAAGTAGCTTAATTTGGTGATCAGAGTTGCTGCTTTAGTGGTTTCATTGTTAAACCCAAATAAACAAATCTGATATAAATTTCTCCATCCAAACTAATGGTGATCGTACTCCAAATAAGTTAATAGAATAACACTGCTGTGCAACTACTACTCTCAATTCTGAATAAGAAGCAGAGTGTGTACATTACTTGTTTTCAGATTTTGATTGACGTTAACTGACTTAATTTTGGCCAGAACCTTTCTTTTCTCACAAAAAGCTTTCACTTTTTGTTTCTTTCTCTTATTTCACATTGAAAAATAGTCTGTACACCTCGTGGCAGAGATCTTGGTGTTGTAAATTCGTCTTGTAAAGCCACTAGCACACTTTGGATGCTATATTGTTAATACACTGTTGTCCTTACAAAAACCTGCCCATCCCATTGAAGTCAACAGAAACACAGGAGAGGTAGAGACTTCCTCAGTACACCACTAGCAGGAAATTATTTACACTGCTCATCCAGATTTTCCTTGTTCCTTTGTTCTTGTTTTTGGTGATTTTTTAATGTAGTGTTAGCAACTAAAATAAAGAAAGACTTGTGACAATTTTATCAAATATTTATCAAACTTAGTGAAAATTTGGGAAAAACAATCCTGTAGTAATCTAGTCCTTAAAGGACAATTTAAATGAGAATTCTATTGATCTTCACCTGCGTTTAAGTCCTTTTAGATTATTAAAAAGGAAAACTAATCTATTGTATTTTTTCCTTTTTCTGCAGCCTATTTACATCTAGATGTTTTCCTTTCTGGTGACAGTGCACCAAGCTGATGCTACAGACATTCACAATTTACAAAGAATGTATTAAACAGTTTTCATGTGACATGTTGTTTTCTTTGTTTTTCTCTCTTCCCTTTTTATGCAAATTCTCACATTCTTAGGCTTAAATACCTATTTAAAGTTGGCATGTACCAAAGAACACACCAAATGGGGATTTTTTAAAGTGCTCCTTTGTATTATAAACTAAAGTGGTAAGAAATAAATTTACTACTTTGATACTTGGTCTAGAATGTGATAAAAGTTCAGTTCCCATTTTGACAACTTCCTGCAGCTCAAGTGTTTTGTCAAATGAGGAATAGGCACTTGATAAAATTTACCCTGGGTGTGCCTACACGAGACACTTTACTGTGCAGCAGACACATGCACACTAATTACTGCGCAGTAAATTAGTCTACTGTGCAGTTAGCTACTACCTGTGAATACAAGTAGTGAACTAACTGTGCAGTAAAATGTGTAGATGCTGACTGGGAGCAAAGTTGCTCCTGGTCAACCCCAACACCAGGGGACCGCAACAGCTGAGAACAGAGCAGCACCAGGACTGGGGAGCTCACTGCTTCCCCGCACAGCCAGGGGTTGGCTGGAAGCTGTCCTGCTTCTGAGGCAGCTCCCAGCCAGCCCTAGACTTGGCAGAGAAATCTCCAGAAATGGGATATTTCCCAGCCATTCCCAGGCTGCTTGGGGATTTGACCACCCAGCCCAGGGCTAGCTGGGAGCTGCCCCAGAAGCAGTACAGCTCCTGGTCAGCCCTGGGCTGCTTGAAATCATTGCCCAGCTGGGGGCTGGCAAGGAGCTGCTCCAGAAGCGGGACAGCTCCAGGCCAGCCCCTGGCTGTGTCAGGAAACCTTGCTGTGCATGGAGTTTGTCCCCATGTGCATGGGGCCAGGAGAGCTCTGCAACAGCAGCTGTCTCCCAGCCTCATGCACATCAGGACCCCTCCCAATGTACACTAGGCCAGGGAACAGCTACCACTGTAGCTGGCAGAGCTCTTCTGGCCCCCTATGCATTGGGACAGGCTCCATTTTCCCTGCCAGCCCCCCAGCCCAGCACCCCAGGGGAGCCTGGAGCTCCCCCTGCCTGCTGCAAGGGGCCAGACCTAGGTAGAAGCAACCCTGTGCTGACTGGTCCCACTGGGAGCAGATTTGCTCCCAACAGGAAACACATGTAGGCATGCTACCCGGGAAGGCTTACTGCACAATAAGCCTTAATACTACTGTATAAGGAAACACTACTATATTTTACTGTGCAGTAAGCCTTGATAGCATTAATAGCACATATAGACACGTTCCCTGTAGTACCATCTCACATAGTGAGATACCTTTAGACTAGTTTCACACACTTAGTATTATTTGCCAGTAGGGGGTGCTACTAAGTTATTTTTCTCTGAAGAGATGACTGCCCTTTCCTCTATGGACCCTGTTAGTAGCACCCTTCACAAAACAGGAGAGGCAAACAAAGGGAATAATTATGCTATAAAATGTAGGACAGCCCAATGGAGGAATGCATCTACATCACCTTGCTTTATTTTACTGAGTTGTCCTTCTGAGTTCTTTGTTTAGTGAAATCTTAAACAAAAATCTGCCTTTTAGGTTTCAGACCCTCAGTGTGGGAGGCTGAAGAAAAAAAAGATGTTGTGGTAAAGTAAGAAATGTTAACACACACTAAGCGGGTCTAGCATCTGACAAAAGATGGATGTGTCCCCAAGTATGCAAGAATGTGGAATACGTTGCAAGTTGGAAGTTCCAGTCTGTTGTTTGAAAATGCGCACCAAGATTTAAAATACTTCACAATATTTTAGAAACCTCACAAACAAAAGTGTGACGTTAACTTGGTATCAATCATTTTCATTGTCCAACTTGTTTCTCTGATGTTGCTTATCAGAGGAGAAAATTTTTGTTCTAACGACTGCTCAGTTTAACCTTTTGGAGGCTGTGGATGTACGTCTTGCTGTGCATAGCTGGTTCGGAGTGTGCAAAAAGCTAAGGATTCAAATCAAATTACCCTGAGGACTGATTACTGACCTTTTGAATGCAAGGCTGTCAAAGCCTTCAACTAGACACCAAACTGGAGAAGAACATTTAAGGTGGATCAGTCCTAACAGAACACAGTGAGTTTCTGACTCTTGGTAATTCCCCATTCCAGAGAAATGGAGGGGCAATGCTACAGTTCAAGAGCCCTATGAGGAAAAGACACAACAGCTTTTAGTTGTTGATGGTAACATATGATTTTTGCCCTTATGAAAATAGGTTTTTAATCCTTCTGAAAAAATTAAGAGCTTCTATTTGATGGCTGATCCCGGTATACTTCCCAATCAAAATGCCCCACTGACTTCAAAGGAATTTTTGTCTACTTAAGGAATGTAGGGTCAGGCCCTTAATTAGTGATAACTTTCTTCAGTGAGTTGTCCAGTATGACAAACTATGCCATTTTAATAGAAGCTAACCTTAGTTAGTAGTTGTCCTGCCATAACTTCACCCTGCAAAGCAAGGACCTTTCCTTTTCCTCTCTTTCAGATACCAAAGTTGGTATGTGTTTGCTGTATAGAATACAGTAGGAAATATATTCACCTGAACTTGTGGCATTTATAGTACACTATTGTCATATTATAGATGACACTGTATTATTGTCTTGTTACAATACACAATACAGTACAATAATTTCCGGTGGGAAAAGTGTTTTCAAGTTGTGAATTCCTCTACGCATTGATGCCCAACAGTTCTGTTTGTTCATCCTCTGGCTGCTTAAGGAGGCAGCTCTACAGCTGTCAGAAGAATTGCAGGAAGTTGTGCCTTTGTGGAAAAAGTCTCTTAGAACTTGAATAGGGGATTAAACTGACAGGCTTCAATAGAAATGACTCTTAAAACCTGGAGCGCTTAGAGGACTGTGTGCCTGCTGGACTCCATGGAGTTTCTATATAGAAATGTTTCTGTAGGTTTCCTGTAGTAGTGAGAAGCAACAGAAGCTCCCAGTCTGCCTCCAGCATGCATGCAAGGTAGCCTGAATACCACACCTCCTTTAGCCCAAGCAGTGTAGGTCTAAACTCTGTCTCCCCATTTTCATTTAGTTTTTAGCATGTTCCCACTTGGCCTTAAGCAACCTGTATCCCACCTTGAAGTAGATCTGCATTCTAACTCTATCGAGTGAAGTTATTGCATGGAGAGAGACTGCTAGTATGTTCAAACCTCATCCCCAAGTACATACAGTATTTCTCATGTCTATAAAAACTCGTGTGACTTTGGGAGCTTGTGGGTACAAGCTGTACCTGCACTTTGAGTTATATACAGTGTTCTATATAGTTTTATATTCAGGACTTAATTATTCACTTAGCTGGCTGCATAGAAAGCACCACTGGTCTAGAAGGTAATGAGCCAATTTTATTTGTGTTTGTTTTGTTTTGCTTTGTGCTGTTTACCGAGAGATTTTAAAGAACTGGTCTTTGAGAACTGCCAGAGCTAGCTGTGTTCAGGAGACATGGCTGTCTCTTCATGAAGCACAAACCTTATTCATGTGAGATGCTCCTGATTTCCAGGCCAACTTCAATTTCTTTAGTTTGAAAAGGTGTAAGATCCCTTCAACAATATCCACCTGTTCTCAAAGTGCATCACTAAGACTCCTTACTAGACCTCAGCATAACTTTGGTGAGTTCTTAAGAGAAACTGGGCTGGGTTTTCCCAAAGAGTCTCCAGATTTTGCAATCTTGCAATAACAGTGGACAATAAGCTGAATATAAGCCAACTGTGTACCCTTGTTGCCAAGAAGGTTAACAGCATACTGGGCTGCATTGCCAGCAGATCAGGGGAAGTGATTCTTCCCTCCATTCAGCACTGGTGAAGCCACAATCGGGGTTGGAACAGAAATTACACATAAACCTTTTTAATTGATTGGAAACTGGTTTAAACCTGTAACAGAACAGAAGTTCAGTGCACATAAACCACTTTCAAAATGGCCAAAACTGGTTTAAGATAAACCTGGATGGATGTAGATGACAGAACAAGGAGCAATGGTCACAAGTTGCAGTAAGGGAATTTTAGGTTAGATACGAGGAAAAAGTCTCTCACAAAGAGGGTAGTAAAGCACTGGAACAGGTTACCCAGAGAGGTGGTGGACTCCTCCATCCTTGTAGGTTTTTAAGACTTGGCTAGACAAAGTTTTGGCTGGGATGATCTACCTGGGGGTAGTCCTGCTTTGGGCAGGGGATTGGACTAGATGGCCTCCTAAAGTCTCTTCTAACCGTAATTTTGTATGATTCCATGATTCTAAAACTGTCCTGAGCAGCAAGGAACTTAGAACAACTTACCATTTGAATGAAAAAAGAAATACATTGCCCAAAAGAAGTAGTCATTGAGAGCATGTTTCCAGACCAGCTTACAGTTGTAGGAATGACAGAGCTGGCACAGATATTGCTTTTAAGGGAAGCCCTTTATTATGCTTCACTGGAGCAGTCCCACAAGCTTCATTCCTATCTACCATGTGCAATACCTACTGATGGACCTTCCCCAAGAATTCATCCAATCCCCTTTTGAATAGAGTTAAACTATCAGGCTTCAAAACATCTTGTGGCAATGAGTTCTACAAGTAATTACACACTGCATGAATAATTAGTTAATTTTAAATCTACTCCTAATGGTTTCATTTATGTTCTGTGGCTCTAGTATTGTGAGAAGTAATAAATTCCTATTATTTTCTCTGCATCATAGCCCACTTCCAGTATCTCTTTTCTTAGCTGCTTTAGTTTCTCCTCATACAGAAGTCCCTCCATATCCCTAACCATCCTTGTCACTTATCTTTACCTTTTCAAGTTCTTCTATATCCTTTCTCCAGTAGGGGGGCAAAACTGCACACAGATGTACCATAGATTTACAAAGGGGTGTAAAGATACTTTCTGCTTTGTTTAAAATTCCCTTCTTAATAGTTCCTAACATTTTCTTAGTCTTTTTGACTGCTGTTGAACATTGCACAGGTATATTTAGCAAACTGTCCACAATTACTTTAAGATCTTTTACCTATATGAGCCCATCATCATGTATATATATTTGGGGTATTTTTTTCTCAAGTGCATCGTTGGCACTTACCTACATTTAATTCAATCTGCCATTGCTGTTTTATTACCCATTTGCTCTATAATTTTAAATTAAATTTTAAATTCTGTAGCTCATTGAAGTCCACTTTGGATTTTACCATTCTGGATAATTTTGTCATCTTCAAATTTTGCCACTTCACTTATCCCGTCCTTTGCAGATAATTTATGAATATTATTTAACAGCACCAGTCCCAACACAGATCTTTGGGGGACTGCATTGTTAACTAAGTTCCATGCTGCAAACTGACCATTAACATCCATTCTTTGCTTTCTATCCTTAAGCGAATTTCTGATTCACAAGTGGACCTTCCCTCTAATGCCATCACAACCTAATTTCAATAACAGCCTTTGATACAGATTTTGTTTTTGAAAGTTTCAGTACTGGTTTACTCTAATGATTGGTTCTGATTGTTTTTCATTAGTACATATGCAAGCTCCAAGCCCCATGGTGTGTTGAGGGTGCAATAGAATATCCAAACAAGAACTGCACAAGTAACTCCTGGAAGCAAAGTTGAAGATAAACTAATGAAAGAGGTGTAGTGGCAATTGAAGAGGCCTGCAGATATTCTAAAACAGTTTGTTCATTAGTCTTAAAGGAAAAAAAAATCTAATAGACCCCATTGTCCAGTCTTGAAGTTAAGGATAAAAACAGTTTGTTCTTCTAAAATACTTGTGCATAATTATTGAAAGGAAATAAAGTACAATACATGAATTTCTATGATGCTAACACAATGTCTTCAGGTTCTGCAACCCGCTTGCTGGAAGCCTGGGCAATGTAGAATTTTAATACTCAGACTCTGCTTTCCCTTAATTATATTGCTCTGTCAAGGTAGCCGGACACCTCCAAGCATAGACGAGGCATAGGGGAAGCATGGGGAGGCACATGCACCCCCTGACAGGGCCGTCCCCACCACCGATGCATAGATTGATAGATGTAGGGTCGGAAGGGACCTAAGTAGATTTTCAAGTCTGACCCCCTGCCCTGGGCAGGAGAGAATACTGGGCTCATATGACCCAAGCTAGGTAATTATCAAGCCTCCTTAAAGACCCCCAAGGTAGGAGCCAGCACCACTTCCCTTGGAAGTTGGTTCCAGATCCTAGCTGCCCTGACTGTGAAGTAGTGCCTTCTAATGTCCAGTCTGAACCTACTCTCAAACAACTTATGGCCGTTATTCCTTGTTACTCCAGGAGGTGCTTGGGGGAACAGGGTCTCTCCCATTGCCTGCTCGTCCCCCCTGGTGAGTTTATAGACAGCCACCAGGTCCCCTCTCAGCCTTCTCTTGTGACGGCTGAACAGGTTCAGGTCCCGTAGCCTCTCCTCGTAGGGTCTGCCCTGCTGCCCCTGGATCATGTGAGTGGCCTTCCTTGGACCCTCTCGATGCTGGTCACATCCCTCCTAAAGTGCGGCGCCCAGAACTGGACACAGTACTCCAACTGTGGCCTGACCAATGTCACATAGAGGGGGAGGATCACCTCCTTGGCCCTGCTTGTGATGCATCTGTGGATGCATGACAAGGTACAGTTAGCCTTACTGACCGTGTCCTCACATTGGCGGCCCATGTTCATCTTGGAACCGATAATGACTCCAAGATCTCTTTCTGCCACTGTGCTTTTGAGAAGGGAGTTCCCCAGACTATAGGTATGCCGCTGATTCTTACTGCCCAAGTGCAGTGACCTGCACTTGTCAGTATTGAATCCCATCCTATTCTCATTCGCCCACCCCTGTAACCTGTCCAGGTCCAGCTGTATTCTGTCCCTCCCTTCTAGCGTGCCCACCTCACCCCAAATCTTGGTGTCATCAGTGAATTTGAACAGGGTGCTTTTCACCCCCTCTTCCAAGTCGCTGATAAAGAAATTGAACAGTGCGGGCCGGAGGACCGAGCCCTGGGGGACTCCACTGCGCACATCCCTCCAGGTTGAATATGACCCATCCACCACCACTCTCTAGGTGTGGCCCTTCAGCCAATTTGCAATCCATCTGACTGTGTAGGCATCAATGCCACAGTCGCCTAGCTTTCTAATGAGAATGGGGTGGGATACCATGTCAAAGGCCTTCCTGAAATTCAGAAAGACTACATCCACCGCAATACCTGCGCCTAACGATTTTGTGACCTGATCATAGAAGGCAATCAGG